AAATATTAACGATCCCCATCCCTACCCATTATGCTCGAAAGTAACTACGGCAAGTTGTTTAAGTCTACATGAAATATATACCCTACACAGACTAATGAAATACTATCTGTAAAATGTAAACAAACCTCATCACTTGAGAAGGTAGGTGATGCAGACGTCGTGAAAGACATTTTGTCCCGTAACGCTCGCAGTACTGTTGGGGGGGAGAAGCGGTGGGGGGGAGACGTTTATGTTGCTGCGGTCTGCAGCCTGGACGTTAGATGTCGCTGAAAATTACACACTGTAGCTTTAATATTTTGCATTTTCAGCAACACCGATGTGTGAACAGGGTGATGAGAAAGCAACATGAAAAAATCTATTTCACTAATGACTTTACTACTGAGGAACACAGAGAAATGCTACTGTGACATTTCACTTATTTTCTAAACTGTTGGGATCTGGAGATCTGCCCACCTTTCTCCAGCAGAGGGCGCCCTAGGTCTCCTGGAGCTGAAGCTGACTACCACACCTGCGGCTGATTTGCTCATCAGGAGGAGCAGCATATAAGCAGTGGCAGAACTACTCTTCAGTGCCAGAGTGTTAAGCTAGTTACGGTTAGCAAGCCTGAGCCAACCAGCCTGCCTGATTCTCTGACTCCCAGAAAACCTGACTTGAACCTAACCAGTTTTTCTGTCCTCTCTGCTTCCTAGGAAGAATCTGACTGAGACCCTGGAGCTCTGGAAGAGCTACTCAACTGAAACCTGCCTGCCTTCTCTCAGTAACAAACCTGAAGATCAAACTGTCTGGATCTGCCTGCCATCCTTCAAAGGAACTTGAAGAAACTCTGAACACTCACAAGCCTGAAGTAAAGTTCTGTCGCTGCCAAGCCCTCTGTCATCAATCAGTCTCTGGACCCTCCTGGTTCCCTCCCTCTACCGCTCAGCCAGAATCTCTGAACAGGTACAGATCTGCACATTCCCTCAGCTACCTGATCATTAGCTGCCTGGCTATCCTAACTGTCCCTCTCTGCAGAGTCCTTGTGTGACCTGTCCCAGATCTGATTCAAGCACCTGTCAACTAACATTGTGTTTATCATTTGATTCCAGTATCTGTCAAACAACCATGTGCATATCCTCAATAAATTGTTAAACTTTTACTCTGACTCCTGGGTGTTCTGCATGTGGGTTAGAAACCTGAATCCCAACATGAACACTCTGGCCAACAACCTAACCCAGCAGTTCACCTCCGGAGGATGATTGAGGAGCAGGCTGCTTTAATCCAAGGACATGAATCAACCCTCCGTGAGTTAACTACCCGTTTGGATCAACAAAATCGATCTTTCCAGGACTTAGCTGGCTACGTGAGAAATGCTAATGCGGAACCAGCTCAACTTCCGGTTCCGGAGCCAAACCCGCCTCCAAGGTCAGACCCAGTTCCGTCACTTCCGGAGAAGTTCTCAGGTACAACAAGCAAATGCAAGGGATTTTTATTCCAGTGCAAATTGATTTTTGAACACTCTCCTACTAGTTTCTCAAATGATAAGAGAAAAA